GGCCCCCGTGCCCTGGCTCACCTCCGTGGGGACGGCCCTCACTCCCTGGCTCACCTCCGTGGGGACGGCCCCCATGCCCTGGCTTACCTCTGTGGGGACGGCCCGCAAACCCCAGCTCACCCGCATAGGGACGGCCCCCATGCTGGGCTCACCCACCTGACATCAACAAGAAGGCGGGGGCCTGATGGTGTCTCCAATATGTCCTGTTTGAAGATTCCGGATCTAGACGCTGGGGTGTGGGGACGGTGTCAGACAGGTAGAGGTGTATGTGTGGAAAATTCAGTTCTCAGAAGCTTCTAATCAGGATAGAGGTTTGCTTTGACTTCTTATGGGAATCGCTTGACGGCGGCTGTGTCTGTCGCCCACACACGCCCCAGGAGGTTCATACCTGAGCAACTCTTATCCACAGAAAACGTGGCTCAGCCCCCTCAGTGGGAAGATTAAGCTGATTTTCCATTCTCCCATAGAAAACGTTACCAAATTGTCATTTTGTAAAAGTAATCCGAGGCTGTGAGGTCAGGAACTTTAGGGTAAAAAACGTGCGGTGTGATTCTGTCTGTGATGCTTCCTGTGTGGGCCTCCGATTCTGTGTGTGATGCTTTCTGTGTGAGCTTCCAATTCTGTCTGTGATGCTGCCTGTGTGAGCTTCCTACACTCATGGTGTGCTGGGTCTTTCACTGTAAGTATGTTCAGTTTTAGGCCTAACACTGTGTTCATAATGTCATATGCCTTTTCTTAAGGAAGTTGCCAAAACGATGTAACTTCAGGGTGTGCAGAGTCGACCGCGGCCAGGTGCTCCTGCCCCACAAGTCTCTCCGGGGGAGCCTCAGATAGTCCTGCAGTTGCAGAGATGGAGATTGTTTATAATTACTTAGGAAAGGAAGACCCACGTGCTGGGGAAGGACTGGGAACAAGACAAAAACAAATACACTACAGCCCAGGCTGAAAATGGCAGGGACAGGGTGGGCTGGGGATGGAGGCCTTTCGGGGAACGTCAAGCAGATGGAATCAGAAACCCAACGAAGCAGAGGGACCCACTCCCCCAACACCCCCCAGCCTCCCCCACCACCACACAGAGCCCAGGGCTGCCCTCGGGAGTCAGCAGCCAGAAGAGTTCTTGGCCTGAACCAGGGATCCCCCGAGGGGAAGGCAAGTGACCACAGCAGCTCAGCTGGGGCCAGGGGAAGGAGAAAGGGCCTGGGCTTGCATCCCGGACGTGGGTGCCTATGTGCTGAGCACTGACCGTGCCAGGGACAGGGAGGGAGCGATTTTCACCTGCAGTGTCCACACGGGCTTGCACCCGTTTATTCGACACCCCTGTGGTGGTGGGAGGTGACAGCAAACCCGAGGCTCTGGCCCTGGCCTTGCCTCCCACAGCACGGCCTGTGCCTCCCCAGGCTTCCCAGGAGGCCGCTCTGGCACTGACCCAGCAGACACCACCTCTCTGTGACCTCCAGGTTTCCTCCAGATTTTACGCTTTTATTATTCAAAACACAGAAGGGGTGAGACACGGCTACTCGGTCCTCCAGGAGCCTTTATTGATGTTTAACAATCAGGTTACACGTCCCAGTGCCTGGGATTTGTTCTCAGACACTTCGTGCCACCAGGCTGGTCACTGCCTTTCAGTTCCCACAGATTTTCAGAGCTCCAGAAACAGCAGCACGAACAGTGAACGAAGCTTCCACTGGAGCCAGCCCCAGAGCAACGGGGTCCGGTGTGAACATCCCAGGGCCCAGGTCGGTCCCTCACACCCAGGTTGGAGCTCACGTCACTGAAGGAGAAGGCAAAGCTGGGGCAACGTGCAGGGGACAGGCCAAAGCTGAGGAAACGCGCCGGGGACGGCCCGAAGCTGAGGAGACGCGCGGGGGACGGGCCGTGAAGCTGAGGAGACGCGCGGGGGACGGGCCGGAAGCTGAGGAGACGCGCGGGGGACGGGCCGGAAGCTGAGGAGACGCGCGGGGGACGGGCCGGAAGCTGAGGAAACGCGCCGGGGACGGCCCGAAGCTGAGGAGACGCGCGGGGGACGGGCCGTGAATCTGAGGAGACGCGCGGGGGACGGGCCGGAAGCTGAAGAGACGCGCGGGGGACGGGCCGGAAGCTGAGGAGACGCGCGGGGGACGGGCCGTGAAGCTGAGGAGACGCGCGGGGGACGGGCCCGAGGCTGAGGAGACGCGCGGGGGACGGGCCCGAAGCTGAGGAGACGCGCGGGGGACGGGCCCCGAGGCTGAGGAGACGCGCGGGGGACGGGCC